GAGCAGGCCTGCCAGCAGGTCGTTATCTCCCGAGGGGTCCCAGACTGCTAGAGGGCACAGGCCGGGCTGAGGGACATTTTTGTGCACCAGGCCTCTAGTCCTATATAATAAAAGCCTATTATGCAAATTGTTCAACTGGGAGTTCAACTGCTTGCTATGATGTGTGCTGACCACCAGGGGGTGATGTGGAACACGGCGGGCATCAGCGATGCAGTGCTGGCAGCAGGCGGCAGTGGAAGCGCTGCCGGCCCTGATAGGCCCCAATGGGCCGCGACAAGAGTGGGACCACAGTGGGATGGTGGAGCAGATGAGCAAGTTGGGCCAGGCCAAGGCAGGTGCAAGCGGGGACCCAATTGCCTCACCAATTGCCCCACAGGCAGGATGGTGAAGCAGGTGAGGGGGTTGCACCAGGCTATGGTAGGGTGCCAGGTGGGGCTATAGGGCTGAGAAGCTGGGGGCGCAAGCTGGGGCCCGATCCCTGCAGGAAACCTGTAGGGACCCCACCAGTGCATGAATTCTAGCACCAAATCTTTAGTACTTAATAAAAATGAGAGGATTATCTAAATAGAAACAAACTTTTCTACACTTTCAAATGTTATTTTTGTTGTTGTATTTACAAAAAACATTTAAGTACAATATTTTCAGACATAGACCACTGACTTTTCCTTGCTGTAATAGGTAAACGATACCTAAGCCAGCAAGAAGAGTTTTCTTATAATGGAATATTCTTCAGTCTTGAAAAGGAATTAAGTTTTGACACATGCCACATCATAGATTAACCTTGAAGACATTAGGGTAAATGAAGTGAGTGAGACAGAGAAGGACAAATAAATACTGTATGATTCCATTTACATACGAGACATAGAATAGGCAAATTTAAAGAGACACAAAATAAGAATAGAGGTTACAAGGAACTGTATAGGGGTTATTATTTAAGGGCTACATTAAACTTTTGGGGGGATGATGATAAAAAAATTTTAGATATCGAGGTGATTGGTTACATAACATTATAAATGCATTTAATGCTATGGAATTTTACAATTGTGAAGGGTTAAGATGAGAAATATGGATATTTTACTACAATAAAAGAAACAGGTAAGAATTCTGCCGAGATTTTCCTCTGAAGCCTGTGTAGAGTTAGGATAACTAGGTGCAAGTTCACTTCATTTGGATAGAATCGTATGAGCAAAAGCAGAAAGGCAAAAAATATTAGTCTTACCCAGGAAAGCAGTGAAAAAGCGAGCCAGAAAGGCCCGTTGGGGCTAGGTTATGAGGCTCTCCAAACCTTTAATGTTCTGCTTATTCTTGGAATCTGAGAAGCATGATTTGTTACTGTGTAGATTTAGGAGAGAAAGGCCGAAGAGTCTTCACATCTCTGTCCATGTACAAGGGATGGTGGAGAAGAAAGGCCGCGATCCAAAGGCACCGGATGGGCACTGGGCTTGTGGGAGGGGTGGGAGTAGACGGAACTAGAAGCATGACATGGTGACAAAAAGAACATGTTCTGGAGTCAGTCAACCCCGGGTTCAATTTCTGTATTCAAAACATACTAACTATGCAAACTTGGTCAAATTACCTACATTTTCTGAGTCTCATTCTCCTTGTGTGAAAATAATAGTAACTTTATATAGGGCTATTCCAAAGACTAGGGGATGGGGTGACAGGCTTCTGTAGACTTCAGATGGCCCTCAGAGACACCAGGGCTAGCTCCTTCCTTGGGTAATTTCTAAAGTGCCAGCTGAACACGAATGTCTGTGAAAGAATTTAGATTTTTCTTTCTGCAAAAATAAGTGATTCACAAAATTAAAGTTATAATTTATAGTTAATATATCCCTAGACAACTACTATAGTTAGTTTTAAGTATAAATAAAAATACCATAGCTAAAATAGATTTTCCTAGTGCAGTTATCTCTGGGACCTACTCAAATATTTTTGAAAGCTGAATTAAGCATTTCATTCCTCTTAGTTGCCATTTAGGGCTCAGGACCACGTATTTAAAAAATAGTGTCTTGTTGTCAGATCTAATATAAGGTCCCTCCAATTCCTCTTCCTAATCAGAGCTCTTTGTTAGGGTTTTACCCTGTGCAGAGTATGCTTCTGCTAAAGTGATTATGGCCCATACTCAAAAGTATGAATGCAAATTTGAAAACATCCCCCATGCTTTCAATAAGAAATAGTCTAGATGGTGGTAACTTGTGTCCCTTCCAGACTTTATGTCTTTATAACTAGCTTTTTCTTCTAATTATATTTCAGGTGACCCTCTTAGATTTTCTATTTTACATAATAACATTATCTGTAAATGAGGTCATCTTTTTGACTATTGTATCCTTATTTGTGCCTCCTGATGTAGAGTTAGATGTGCCAGGATGATGGTGGTCGTGGTCATCAACAGATGGAATATTAGTGTTTCAACATTTGATATGACATCACCATTTAGTTTGAATCCCATAGCACGCTTGTCACATCTTTCTTGTCACCTAGCTCACATAATATAGGAACTTCTGGGAAATGTCTTTTTCTCATTGAGCCTCTGCTCATTAAGGAGAGGGTCTTTTCTTATTCATCTCCATATACACAGTATTAGCACTGAGCCTGAACCAACGTGCGTGTAGATATGTATGGGAGGTACAAAAAGGGCCTTAATGTAGCAGGGCTCAATAAAAAGATCCCGAGGACAATAATCCAATGGGAAATTATGAACCTCTTTTTATAATTTCAAAGATCATTCACTGTCAGCTATTTCTCTAAAAAATGTTTTACTTAAAATTAATCAATATCTTGAATATTTGTCCTTTTGTTGATTCTTATATAAGAAAGCAGGAAGGAGATACAATTTAAAGCTCCATTTTACTTGTAATTAAAAGAAAAAGAAGAAGCTCAAATTCTGTTTAGATTGTTGATCCAAGTATGAATTCTTTAATTTTTTTCGTAACTTCCAGCAAACATACAAATAAATAAATCCAGGAATTAATAAGATTAACTAATTGGTTACTTTATAACTGCCCATAATACACAAAACAAAGGTAAATTTTATGTTGACTGTCTTTGGATGCTATTTCTTGGTATTTTCAAACAATTACTCTAATGTTATATGATCTCCTTTTCTTAGTACTTCTCATTTCACAATTTTTATATATTCCTGTTTTAAATAATGTTTGGCTCTTAATGTCACTCATGTATTTATTCATTTGTAAAAATGGGATATGAGATGGGCTGAATAATGTGAAAATTTCTTAAGGAAGAATTAAAATATAACAAAGAATAATTTACAAAACCAATCTGGTAGAAGTCATATTTATTGAAAAAAATTAATATCTTTGCTATAAAATTTGTAACAGGAATATTTACTGAATGTTTATTTTGATGCATAAACCTGAATATTACATACCAAATACAAGACAGTAGCACTAGTTTTTCCTTTATTTACATTTTATGAAAATTGTTACACAGTCCATGTTAAAAGAACTTATGATGGAGAATTGTTACATTAGAAAAATAATATTCTTGATAAAGCATTCCCAAGGAGTCCAATCACATTTTCTGCCTCTTCAATAAGGCAAAAGTCCCTGGAATAGCATATAACTTAATTTACAAAATACAATAACTGTTCAGACACATATTCAAGTTTTCTTTTGGTATGATTTTTCCTCACTGTAAAATTACTTTTTTCTCTCTTTTTTCCCCCTTTTTTGCTAAAACAGGAACATAGACTTTTAGGAAAATGTCATTGAATGATTTTAGCTATACATTACATATACAACTCTGTAGCCTAGCAACAACCATTGCTACACCATCATTAACTTTAAATATTTTGCTTGGTGAGCTCTTCTCAAATGTAGCATATTTTAAGATTTTGCCATTATTATGATTGTGGAATCACTGTTTGGTTTGCAGAGGAAACAGACCTGTCAGTGTAGAAGCTCTGTTTGTTTAGGGAACTGGTACACAATTACATTTCCACTCACAAGAGAACGCCACAGATGCAACTAAAGTCAGGCTCTGATGGCTCCGCCGAGGTCCTGCCCTGGACAACCCCAACCGCCTGCCCTCGCTGCACAGCCCCGCACGGGTGCAGCAGCTTCATTTCCAGACGTGTGTCAGGTTTGTTTTTCAGAGTTAGGTAGTTTTAATTCCTTCAAAGGCACACAACTTCCATCTTTTCTCCAGCGTTGCTCCCACGCCTGTGAATTCCTGTTTAAACATGCGAGGCAGCCTCATCAAAAGCATTTCAATTTCATTTGCAGATATCTGTTAGAAAAGAAGTAAAGTCCGTTTTAGGAAAGGAACTCATCTTAAAGGCGAGGGGCTGGGATGAGCTTTTTCAGTGCAATAAACAGCATGTGGTTTTATGTGTGTCTGTCAAGTAAGGTCCTTATGAAAGGAACTTGAGGAAAGCGCTGAATGTGATTCTTTCTCATTCTGTGAGCATGGGGTGGTGTGGGGCATGGGGCAAACAGACAGAAAATTCCAGGTTCACCCTTCAGATGGTGGCACCCTTGCTGGCAGTGCCACGCCTGACTAGCCCTCCCTTGATCTAAAAGGAGATGGGGGAGGGACTTAAGGGAGCTCCTAGTAAGTTACCACCACTCCCAGAAAACCATTGGTGCCCTCACCCTGCTCTACAACGGCAGCATTTGTATTAAACTCAGTGAGGGTAGTGAGGACATGGGTAGGCTTCTTGACACTCTCTAATTTCTTTCTCTACCTTTAACTTTCACTGGGACCAGAACACAATAAAGGATAAGGAACAGAAATAAAACCCAAAACCTACAGCAATAAATCTTCTTTTTTAAAATATATTTTTATTTATTTCAGAGAGGAAGGGAGAGGAAGAGATAGAAACATCAATGATTGGCTGCCTCCTGCACATTGGACCAAGTCCGCAACCCAGGCATGTGCCCTTGACTGGAATCAAACCTGGGACCCTTCGGTCCGCAGGCCAACGCTCTTATCCACTGAGCCAAACCAGCTAGGGCAAAAGTCTTGATATCTAGTTATAAAATCTAGGTAGATTTTTTAATTCAATTTTTTCTTCTACCAATTTTTAAATTTTATACTTTTTCATACCAATAATTCATTTCCTCTTAAAAAAAGAGCTAATTAACCACAATCCTGCTTGAACACAGCCGCTGTTCTTGTTTTCTTGTGCTTGCTTCCTCACTGTGCATGGGGGAGGCTCCTATATAGTGAGGTGACTAAGACCTTGGGTTTGGGGGTCTGACATTTCTGTTTGAATCTTCTGTCTACTATTGTTACACACTAGATGACCCCTACCAAGATAGTTAGTCTCTCTAAGCCTCAGCAAGTGGGAGTAACAACATTTCATTAGGATGTGTAAAGACCACTGGCTTAGCATAGATTGGGGCACATAGAAATGTTCGATGAATCAGACCGATTATTATTTTCCATTTGAGAGTCTACACTTTTCATTTAACACTATTAAGACAAATTTTAAAGAGAGATCAAAGAGACCAGGAAGTCAAATCAACTGTTGACTTATTAGTAATATTCACATGGAAAAGATTTCACATGGTGTATTCAATATTTCTGGGCCTATAAAACAAAACTTTAAGTAGTGGTAGTTCTAAAAGTTGAAATCAACTGTACTGTAAAATTTTCATGTGAGTTATTTTGAAATCTGAATATATTTCCCCATAAAACCATGCTAAATGGATAATTAGATTCTCAGATCAACTCACAAAAGCCTACTAAGCAGGTGATGAAAGGTTCACAGTGGTTTTGACAAGCATACTTCAATGAGCACTGTGCAAAACACCTCCACCAGCGTCCTCACTTCATGCAAACAACACTCCTGAGACTGCGAGGCAGCTGTTACATTCTCCATTTTATAGCTGGGAAACCGGAGTGAATTGCAGAACTGTTTTATGAAAGACAGACTTTGGGGTGAACCTGCTGCATGTGGTTGGGACCTGAGCACTGGCATGCCATAAGCTCTCCCCAGGACTGTAGTCGGCGGCAGGTGAAGACTCACGGGTGCAGCTGTTTTTTTAAAATATCAAGCACCTCGGGTACTTATTAAAAAAACAAATGATCTAACCCCTTCTCTGGAGACTCTGATTTAGCTGATCTTAGGGTATGGCCCAGATAATCTAATTTTAACAGTCACCCCAGGTAATTTGTATGTTCAGGCATATTTGGGCTAAGAATGAGAGCTTAAATCAGACAGGCTTGGATTTTAATCTGCACTAGTCCTCTAACAAACTGTGAGACTTTGGACAGGTCATTGAGTAGCTGTAATTCTGTTTCTTGGAGTGTATAATAGAAATAACAATATCGCTCCCAGTGTTATTGAGAAAATGATACATAAAATGTAGCACAATGCCTAACACAAGTACACTTTCTATATATACCATATGTTAATGCTGATAGATGTAACACACTAATATCAAACTTTTTGTGGTAAGTAGTTCAAGATCTGTGTTCCTAGGACACAAGACATAAGTACAGGGAGATATGCTGTCAAACTCCATTTCTAGTTGGTCTGGGAGGCAGTTTTCCTTCAGCTTTAAGGCCAAGTTCTCCTCCAAACAAGCTCCTGTGGACGAAGGGGCCACATGCTGACCTGACAAGCTCAGGAAAGGCCTGCGTGGCAGTCTTGCAAACTCAGAGCCCTAAAGTAACCACAAAGGATGGTCTGAAATTAAGCTTTAACTAAAAGCAGATATGATGGGTAGTTACATCCTAGGCCTTCTGTCTTTTTGCATCTGTAATAACATACCCTTGAAATGTCTGGGTAACTTGTAACTTCCCTTTTTCTGGACCCCTTGGGGCACAACCTAATGTGCTGGGTGCCAGGACAGATACCACAAATTCCTTCATTATCATGTTAATTGTTTCTGCCCCCACCTAAATATGTGTCTATCATTTTACTTTTTATCCAATCCCAGGGGTTTCCCTGCTTTGCTTTCTCCTGCTTCTCTAGTCCATCACCAATAAATTTCATGTAACCCACCTACATCCCTTTCCTTTGATTGCAATGTATAAATACAAATGTAACCAGTCATTCTCTGGAGCATTATCTGAATTCATTGAGGTTCTGCTTCCCGGCATATGTCGACATTTGGCTCAAATAAACTCACAAAAATTCTATATAGATTTCAATGGTTTTTTTACATTAACACTCTCTTCTTTCTTTGTAGGAGGACAGCACAGGATGAGCAGTCCTTCCTCAGATCAAGCAAAGACTATAGAGAAGCTGGCAGACCAAGGTGACAGCCCGTCCATCATAAGCTTGTTTCTAGCATAACTACCACCTCCCTTAGCCTTGTGCTATTCATTAGGAAGGAAGAAAAAGCTGAATTCTTTTTTTTTATTTCATTCAACTTAGAAGATTCTAAGGATATATTTTTTTAATCTTTATTGTTCAGATTATTACAGATGTCCCTCTTTTTTCCCCTCATAGTTCTCCTCCACCTGGTTCCCACCCCACCCCAGGCCCTCGCCACCCCACTGTCCACATCCATAGGTACTGCATACATGCATATAAGATCTTTGTCCAGTCTCTTCCCGCATGCCCCCATCCCCTTCCCCCTAAGAACTGTCAGTCCACTCCATTTCCATACCCCTGATTCTATTACATTCACCAGTTTATTCTGTTCATCAGATTTTTTTATTCATTTGATTTTTAGAGTCAATTGTTGATGGTATGGGCCTCTTTGGATTCCTTTTGTCTGGGATTCTCTGTGCTTCCTGGACTTGTAAGTCTATTTCTTTCACCAAGTAGGGGTAGTTTTCTGTCATTATTTCTTCAAATAGGTCTTCAATATCTTGTGCTCTCTCTTCTTCTGGCACACCCATAATATGAATGTTGGTACACTTGAAGGTGTCCCAGAGGCTCCTTACACTGTCTTCATATTTTTGGATTCTTTTTTCTTTTTTCTTTTTCGGTTAGGTGTTTTTGGTTTCTTCATATTTCAAATCTTTGACTTGATTCTTGGGATCCTCTAGTCTACTGTTGAATCTCTGTATATTCTTCTTTATTTCAGTCAGTGTATGCTTAATTTCTGACTGGTCCTTTTTCATATTTTTGGCATTCTCACTAAGATCCTTGAAAGTCTCATTGAGTTCCTTGGAGGTTTCCAGAAGATTCTTGAGTAACTTGAATTTTAACTGTGGTTTTGAACTCTATATCCAGTAGTTTGCTTTCTTCCATTTCTTTCATTTGTGACATGTTTCTTTATCTCCGAATTTTGGCTGCTTTCCTGTGTTTGTTTCTATGTATTGGGTAGCTGTTAAGTCTCCTTGAGTTGATGGAGTGGTCTTGTGTAGTAAGTGTTGTATAGGGCCCAGTGGCTCAGCTTCCCCAATCACCTGAGGTGGACACTCTTTGTGCACCCCTTTGTGGCCTGTGTGCACTGTCTTGTTGTAGTTAAGCCTTGATTGCTGTTAATATCATTGGTCTCCAGGCCAATTGGCTGTGAGGACCATCTGTGTCTACAATGGAAGAGCTGTTGTGCAGGAGACTCCCTTATGGGGCAGGACTTGCTTCAGTGGGACTTTGGTGCTCACTGAGTCTGCCCCTTGAGTGTGTCACTTATGGATGTGAAGAGTTGTAATCTGGTATGATCTTGCACTGACCACTGGGTACACTGGCTCTTGGATCTCCAAGGAGGTGAAAAGTCAGCCACTGCCTGGGGCCACCCAGCAGGAGTTACAGAAAGATCTGTAGATTCCTCCTCTTTGTATCAGGCTTGGAAGTGCCCAGATGAGGCACAGCTGTGAAGCAAAGCAGGCTGGTGTTGGTGCTGGTCTTGGTCCTTCTTTTGATAGCTTTGGGGCTCCCTTACCCAGCTGAAGCTTGTTTGACAGATTTTAGGCTGAGAAAGGACAGGCCATTCATATGCAAAAGCTGCTGTGCACAGCTTGGATGGGGTTATAAATTGGGTAGGGCGGGGTCTCAGGGAATCTCCAGGGTGAAGCAAACAGCAAATGCTTCCAGTCAGCTCTGCACTGCGGAGGTCCCAACACAGGAACAATGACCGTTGGGAACACCTCTGTCTGGAAGAAAGCCACCCTCACATTCCTGCCCTGATGCCAGACAGTCCAGTTTCTCCCCGTATGTGTCTGGGTCCCCCAGAGTCTCACCTCGCACTGGAGCTCAAAGCAAGTGGGAGCTTGTATCTCCCTCCCGATTAAAAAAGCGGCACACCTGGGTGCCAGCCCATTCTGCACCTCCGCACTGCCTACCAGTCTCAATGCACTCTTCTTCTTTACCTCTCTAGTTGTAG